TTTATTGACTGATCTGTTCTTAATTATTCACTTGGAGGTTTCTGTCTAATGAACAAGTCAAAGACACATTGGAGTGAAACTTTCCCATCTCCCTTTACCCCATGCCTCCTTTCATTCATTCTTAGAGATGCACTAAATACACTGAGTTATGTGTACTACGTTTAACGGCTCCTTCCAGACTCTAGTATGATCATTTATGATATAATTACAGTTTTAAAAATGGTTTGAGGAATAACAGTCAAACTGTCAGGTTAAATATAGGGGCCTATTGTACACCTGGTTCAAAGCGCCTTGGCGCGCAGTACAGGCGCCTTTATTTATTTTCCAACTGATGTAGTTGTCCCTTTCCGACCCAGCGCTAACGTTGTGTAAATAACAAGTGCGCCCGTGTTTGCCTCCGTGGGTGTGATGATCTTAATATGAGGTGTGGTAAGACATACAGGTGATGTGTTCCTTTCTCTGGTGCCTTAGACCTCCTAAAACCTGGTTACAATCCATGTCTTAGAATATACTGCTTTTTAGTAGGCGAGTCAGAAAGATGGGCGTACATAAATGAGTTCATAACTGACTTCAACTCTGGACGTAACACACACACAGAGTATTTCATCTTAGCTCCCACTTCTCTGTTAAATCTATTTTAGCACTTTCTGATACATTTACATTGAGTTTCTACATTGAGTGTGGACAGACCAGAAGATGTTGTTTTCCTCTTCTCCTGTCATCTTGAAATTCTTGTCAACCTGAGGCCAGTAATGTAATGTAATGAGAAAAAGCTCACCGCTGCCTCTTAGATGCCCGTTGCACCTTAAGGAGAATCCTGGGAGCTGACTGTTTCTGATGTTATGGGAATGTCAACATTAAGTGTCCTGTGTGCATTCTGTGTTTTCAGGGGCACAATGAAAGAAGAGATGTTAAATGAGCTAGCTATGTTTATGTACACTGCATAACAAGCACGATTTAGTTGGACATGCCACAAATCACTTTGCATCACACTTTTTACACAATGTGTTTTTAGACTGCCAATATAGTGCTGACAGTCTTCCTGACTGAATTTTTGTTTGCGCTCCATTTAGTGATTTTGATCTTTTCTTATAAACTGGGATTAAGTCTACCATTACAGGATGATCATTTTTACAAAAAGCTACATAATCTTTAAAAAAAAGCTTAGTTTTATCTGTGAAATGCACACATTACAGACCTAAACATCCGTCAGTTCTTCTTCTTCATAACAGGTCGACTCTATAGAGATGAATGGATCTGGATGGGCAGCAAAATACAACTGTATGGTGATACTACAGAATATATTGAGTTTCAGTGGTTTTTAACAACTCAACAGTATAAAAAGGAGTAAGAACAACTCCAATCTTGAATTTCTGAATTTACTGCAATCATCTTATGATGATTAGTCTCTGGGAGCGACAGACAACTTTTTAGTGCTTCTGGCGTATCCAACCGTTAGCAATAAAGGACTTCCTACTGAGACTTCCTTTTCAGTGCGTTGACACTTTTTAAAGCCCGACCAGCAACTTGTGTGATGAGAACTGAGTTGATGTTGAGACATGATGACCGAGAGCAGATTGTTTGCCGCACCTGCACACAGATGTCTGCTTAAGTACATTAATTACAGGGGCTCCAGCTCTGCAGCAGAGGTAGCACCTCATTTACTTTCCAAAGGTAAGAGGCAAAGTCCTTGACACACAGTTTGCCATTTCTGCTGCAACCTGCGACCCCTTTGATGCTTGTCAATGCCACTCTCTCATCCCCAGAATGTCCTGTCTCTCTTCAGCTGTCCTGTCAATACAGGCAAAGGCAAATTAATAATTATACAAATATAATTCAAGTCTAAACTCTTGTTAGATGACCACAGAAAAGTGCATATGGTGGATTGGGTTCTGTCCGGCAAAAATGATACTATCAGAGTACAAATGGAACCAGACAAAATCCAGTACTTCTGATATCAAAATGTGGCCTGGCCCGTACTGATTTGGCATTCTCTATTCATGTAAATAGAGATTAGCACAACCATAAAGAACTACAGCAGTAAAGTATCATACACACATGAGATGGATTCTAAAACATCATGAAAATAGAAACTATTGCTGCTTCACTTAAGTAACGAATCTGAAATTGTCTTCCACCACTGCTCATTCATTCAGACATTCACCTTCCCTAAAGAGCCATTGACTCTACATTATGTCTTCATTTGTTCCTTCCTGCTGGTCAGACATTCAGTGATTCATTTATTATGGCCCCGATTCATTCCAGTTCAGTGATGAGCATTGTAATGAAGTCAGTTGGGATTGGTCCTAATGCTTTCCGCAGCCACATCACAGTGCCAGGGAATCAGTGCAGAATGAGATCTGCTGAGACTTTACAGACATCGCCTGCAGAGACAAGTGTTGAAAATCATCAGAGATACTAGCTGGTGACCGTTAAGCATCAAATCACATCTTTTAAGATATTTACGGATCTCCTCTTGTCGGCTGTCAAGCTGGGGGGATAAACAGTCATTCAAGATTAATTTTACAATCCATTATTCAGACAGCTGATGTGAGAATTCATTCAGGACTTACTAACATCTGCTGCTGCTCTCTATTTCTGCTCTGTGAGAAAAAGCTAAATCAGCTCATGTATGAACTTATCCAGTACATGAGACCTTATGTGAATTTAAAAAAAACAGAAACACCCTCATTTATTCAAAGGCAGGCTCCTAAAGAAGAGTGATGGGGGGGGTTACTGTGTCTGTAGGAGACAACAGCTGAGGAGGATCCGTCTATTTTTTGTTCTCCCTTTATTTAAGTCTCACAGAAGGAGGTGTGAATGCCACGGAGTGCCTGGGAATCTGGGTAATTTCACTCTTAGGAGAGCTCAGTCCCTGTTGTACTTGCCCTAACCCACATTTGAGAATCTTAACTACCTGAATCTACTGAAAAACAAAGCAAAGTCCAGTATTTGTTGTTACTCCACTGTCAGTAAAATCTGAATCGGGCCAAATCGGCATAGAGTGGACAAAGCTTGAGCCTTTTCTAAAACATTGTAAAAGGATACCCAAAGTTGTCACTTTTTGGACCAAACTTTGAAAACAGAGACTGAACCACTTGGCACTTTTAGGTGGATGCCTTGCCCCCAAATAACCCTAGAAATAAAGCTAATTGAGGACACGGAGGTCATGACCTCTGGGTTATTTCTGGGAAATGAGGATGTTTTTAAAGACCCAAGGAGGGTAACAGATCTTATTTTTGAATTTTAAATCTAAAAGTGATTTTTTTTTTTTTTTTTTTACAAATGTAAAAAAAACCTCAAATACATGATGGAGGACATTTTGAGTTTTACTACTGCAGTTAATTCCTGAAAGGGTACAAAGAGGGCACTAATGCAGGATTTTGTCATACCTTAATGCAGAGACAGGACAATTGCAGATAATGTAACATTAAAAAAGTATTCACATGAGAAAAAAAGCACCTAAAATCAAAAGGCTTTAATAAAATGATTTAGCTTGTGGTCAATACACTACATTTCTGGGAGTTGGGGAGGGGAGGGGATGGGGGTCTGAAGGGACTCAGAACGGCTTGGCTGCAGGGTCACATGAAAAACGTTTTTAAGGTGAATCTAGCCAGAAGCCTTAACCCTTCACTTTACTTGTGCACAATCTAGATGGAAAGAATTGATACAAAGGGGGTGTGTGAGCTGCTCTTCTTAAAAGGTTTCTTCCTCAGTGGCCTGAATTCAGTGAGTAAGGTTTGAGAGGAGCTGTAACTTGTTACCTCTGTGTTTCCAGAAAGCCCCTCCTAGGACAAACCCCTCCGCCTGAGCGTCACACAAAGTTCACTCCAGTGCAGTCCCCTTTCCCTAAGCTCAAACACACACTCACACACATCCACAGTTATCCACACAGATGCACACGCGTGCACAATCACAACAGACGTTTGCATATTGCGCGCCTGCCTGCTTACTTTTATCTTTCCAGAGACGCACTCGGAGACCTGTTGGATGCTACTAAAATACATTATTTTGAGGAGTTGACGGGTTTTTTTTTTCTCCTTTCATCTTTTGACATTTTTGTTGCTCTTATCAGTGACAACTTATGTGACAACTTTTTTTGAGGGATCTTCTTTGCAGTTCTGCAATATTGGAGTTTATGGGTGAATAAACCACTTAATTGTTGAACCGTGCAGTTGGACTAAAATCAGCATTTCATGGTTACAATGAATAATTCCGTGAAATAGTTGACTCCCCCGGACCAAAGGAATTTCAAGGTATGCTCTTATCAACCGTGACTGTGCATTAAAGTAATCTCTTCATCTCGGGAGCGTCTTGCCAAGGTGCTTAATTTACTTGAATATCAGCCTCAAGTTGAAAAGCGACTCGAAGGTATCGCTCCACAGTTGGTTTGATGGAGTCTAACGCTTTGAATTCATTTGTGCGCTCGAGTAAGATTAGATAAAAGAGAGAGAGAAAGATAGAGAAAGAGAGCGCGAGAGAGAGAGAGGGGGGAGAGAGAGAGAGGAAGAGAGTGTCTGTGTGGTCTAATATGACAGCTCTTCTTTATTCCCACTTCAAAGATGAATCCTCGTGCGCCTTTTTCAACACGAACCTTGATTTATGTGACGCAAATAATACTGTCATTCAGTCAACCTAATAGGAATACGCATGCGCGAACGTCTGTTTTCTTTTAGACAGGTGCTGTGCCTTTTTTATGCTGTATGGCTCTAGTGTGGGACTAAGGATAGGGAGGTATGTGGTGTTGTCCAGACAGAAAATCCCCTGGAGTCAGCTGTATGGTTTTGAGCTGTATGATTAAAACTGACTTGACGTGTGTGTGTATCTGTGTGTGTGTGTGTGTGTGTGTGTGTGTGTGTGAGGAGAGGGAGAAAGACAGAGACTGTACATTTCTTGGACATATCACCATGGGACTTTTCACTGCTCTCTATCAGTCTTGACTTCCCTTTTCTCCTTTGCAGTGATAATCCCAGTGTAGCTTCTCTTCCTGAGGAGTGAAGATGTGTCGGAGTGTGTGTGTGCCGGGGGCTCTGCTCACTCTCCTTGTGCTGACACTTGTGTTGCCTACCGGCCAGGCTTGCCCCAGGAGCTGTAACTGCTACCAGGCCAGTGAAGTCCACTGTACTTTTCGTTCCCTGCTTGCCATCCCTCCTGGCCTGCCTGTACACACACGCCGCATGAACTTAGGGTAAGAGAATTCATATTAGCACACACACCTGGACAAGAAGTGCTTTTATTGACCCTGAAATCACTGCTTGCAAAAAAGTTGTCAAACTTTGGTTCACTAATAAGATAACATGGATATACTACAGTTTGTTGACTTATGTTGGATGATACTATTTCTGTACTATCATAGGTTCAACAGCATCAGCAGGATCCATGAAACCTCTCTGACGGGGCTAAAGAAAGTGGAGCTCCTGATGCTCCACAGCAATGACCTCCACCATATTCCAGATGCAGTATTCAGAGATTTGAAATCATTACAGGTAAACTGTAAAAAAAAGAATGCATGGATGATATTTTTCTTTTTGGTGGGGGGGGATGCAACAGAAGGCTCTGCTTCTTCTTGTTTTACAAATGTACTTCATGGAACTAACATATACCTTTCTCTTTGGCATCTATAGTAGCAACTTACATCAAACTGTCTTGAGCTGACCTTTGCATAAACAAACTATTGATGCTGAAGTATTCCGACTGTTATTGGGGACAGTAAACCAGTGTTTCCTTACATATTTGACCTTTGGCACTATTTTTTAGGACACAGATGTGAAAACCAAAACTGAAGCAGTTCTCTACAAAAAAAAAGAAAAAAAACCTCTCTAGCTTCAGGCAGGGAGGACCATGAGGACCATGCAGGCTCCTGCATGGATCTAGAAAGTGCTTGGTTGCAGAAGTTCTTAAAGTTGAAACATTAGTCTTACTGTAGTTATAGGTTATCATCGCTCCCTAACTATGAGCGATAATAAACATGCTTAGATGCTTTGACAGAACAGATATGACTTTTTAACATAAGTGATGAAAGGATTATAAAGATATATAACATTTGTCAAAAAGGGTTTGGAACAATACAAATGGGATGCTACATTGATTAATGTGCCTTAATCATGCTGTCATTTGTATAATAACTAATGGATTCATAAAAGGATAAGTTATGCATTTGATCTGTGAAACCAGTATTCAAATTATTATAACAGTATTCAAGATTCTGTTCACATTTTTCCTAATTTCTGTACAGCTAATTTATAATTTATGGGACCATCATTCTTTTTTCGCTGCTCAGTGACAGGAAACACACTGGACAGTTTAGCAGCAACCTTAGGGCAGAGTCAGCGCTCTGTGGGGAAGTGATATTACTCAAACAGCAATTGTTCCCTTCATCTCCCAGGCAGATGCTGATATATTTTGCCATTGTGTGATAATACCAACCATATTTCCATGGGCTGACATCTTCACGTGCTAGATCTGTCAGCAGCTGGAGCCTTTCCAGCTAAGTAGCCTCCCTGGGGAGCAGATTTATCATAATCCTGGCAAAATCCACAGTCCTCAAACCTGATTTTCATGGTATGCCTTCTAAACTTTAGATTCCCGAGAGCCTTCTGCTGATGATAAAGGGCTAAATTTTATATTTGAAAAGTTGAAGACCCTAAGTGCTGAAATATCCTTTCAGTTATCCCGCTTTGACCCAATAAACTTTGCGACAGGTTAAATCGCCTGGTTATGCACTGTAGGCTATTTCCTGTGTTTTACATTTGAGATGGAGCTGCATGTATTTTGAAATTTAGCTTTGAGCCATTCTGCTTACATAGAATATTTCACCTAACTCCTCATCCTCTTTCCCCTCTTATCATATGTCGTAAATTTGATTGACAAGCATGTGGAGCCCAGCGTCAGACTTATGTTCATAGCATGCTTTCTTCATCAGCCTTGAAGTCTGTTATTTGATTTCTCTTCTAATCCCTCTTCTCTCCCGCTCGCTCCATTTCCTCCGCCCCCGCAGATACTAAAGCTGAGCTATAACAAGCTGAGAGAGATCTCTTCATCGCTGACCTTCTCTGGCCTGACCTCACTCCTGCGCCTGTACTTGGATCACAACCTCCTCCAGCACATCCACCCCCGGGCCCTGCTCCAGCTGCCTAGCCTCAGGCTGCTACGTCTGCAAGGGAACAGGCTGCATCAGCTGCACCCACACACTCTGTGCACGCTCTCTTTGCTGAATACTTACTACTTCTCTACACTCAGGTGAGCTCTAGCACTTAAAGCACGTAATGTATTATTTATTAGCTGTAGAATTACAATATTTTCAGTGTTTACTGAAAAGCATCCTGATAGTGGCAAGGGCAGTAAGAACTTATTTAGTCTGAAAAGTCTGTTACACCTTTCCAAACAAGACACAACAATCGGTTTTTACAAAAAAACAAACACTGGTTTGTCCTTCTAGCCTAAATAATCTGAGTTGTGCAGTCTTGACCATCAAAATAAGTAAATAAATCCCTGAAAAATATGCCAATCTGAGGCCAAACAAAAGCACTTTTTTTCTAAAGTTTTGGAACTGGTTATAATGTGATACCTTATTGATTTCTAAAAGAAAATTAAGTTGGATTAAAATAAAGTTTTCCATTGCTGGTTCTTGGAATACAGGCAAATAAATGTGTATCATATTGTTTCTACACGTTTTCATCCACTTACATCACTTTTCTGAACATTGAACATTGATGGAAATGATAAAAATGATGGATGAACTAAACCCAACCTGTCATCTACTTCTCTGCCCACTCCCTCTCTTTTCATGAATTATTCTATTCCTCCTTGACTTTGTTTCAACCTCTGAGTTGTCCCTCCCCTTCTTCATCTCAATATTACCTTTTTCTCTCCTGCTCTAGACACCTAGACCTCTCCAACAACAGTCTGACCACCTTACCCAGCGAAACTTTAGCGACAGCACCTCTACTGGAGACTCTTGTATTGCAGGACAATCCATGGAGCTGTGACTGTAGGATGAATTGGTTTCTAACATGGAGTCTGGCTCATCCAGGTGACTGTAACATCTGTAATATAACATGTTTTCATTTGTTGATTTTTCTGCCACATATATGTTTGAGATTTGCTGTGCCTTTGAGCAAGTTCAACTAAGATGCAACAATATGGTTGAGAGACTAAAGGAGAATGAAAAAATAAGCATGTGAAAATAAGCAGGATTGAAAAATCCTGTTGTAATATAGTATTTAAAACCAGTGAGGTTATGAAAATAGGGCATGGATGCCCTTTCTAATATATCTGGTTTTGTTATCTTGGTGCCTCAGACATTTTTCTACCTACTTTTCATCACACACTCCTCTCTTTCCTCTCTTTTCTGTATCTCTTCCAGTCAGTCTTGATGCCGTTATTGAGATGTGAAAAAAGGCTAGACCAGAAAATGTTTCTCATTGATATGCTAGACATAACCTGCCGTGACTAATCCATAATGACAGCATTGATGTGTGCCGGGAGATGAAATATAGGCTAATGATTGGTGTGTTGGAATGAAGTGATGCCTATTTCTGATTTATGGGAAGATGAAGTAACCGTGCCAAATCAGCAAGAGATATTAGGGCTAATGAGGGCTTAAGAACAGCTGGCATGACTAATATATGACACAATATGTGCAGATAGCTGAAATGTGCACTAATATGTTTTAATATTGTGTCACATACAGAGATAGTACGGCTGCCTTTTGTAAAATAAAATGATCTCTCTTTCTCTATGTCTTTTAATAGGATTCATGAAATGTCCTGGCGGGCCTCAGTGTCCAATCTGTGCCTCACCGAAATCCCTTCAAGGGCAGGGGTTGTTTGACCAGATTGATCTACCGTGCAAGCCGCCTGTGATCATCTCCCCTGGAAGAGTCACACCTTTGGAGACGGAGCTCATTGAAATCCAGTCAAGAGAATCCTTCAGAGAGCCTCTAGGCACTGCCTCTTTGGGTTTGTCTGACCAACAGGGGAACAGTGTTGATCTGAGTTGCAACATCACTCACTCTTCTGATTCCCAGGATATTGCACCTCCCCCTGATCTCTCCCTCTCTTCTTCTTCCCCTCTCCCTCTTGCTTTGTCCCTCTCTCTGGATTGCCCTGTGGAGAGACAGAGCTATGAGAAACTCTGGAGGATACTAGCATACTATAGTGAGACAGCAGTTCGCCTGGAGAGGGAGCTCATGCTGAGTAAAGCCCCGGCATTGGCCTACCGCTACAGGCAGACAGTAGAGACAGACGGATATTATCACACGGGGGTCAGAGCTTCTGTTAAAGCTATGCCACAATGGTTGCTACAGCCAGCAATTAGCATTCAGCTAAACAGAGCACAGTCTAATGGAATCAAAGTTCAACTTATATACTCAACAAGAGTTTCTGCTCATCCTGACCCTATTTCTCATTCCTCAACATCCAACCCTGCTTTTCATCCGTGGACGCTGATTTCAACTAATCATACCACCACAGCACTGGCGACAGTAGCAAGGAGTAAAGTGGAACTACCATGCCCTCTGCTAAGTTCTGGTAGCCTCAAAGTAGAGTGGGTTCTCCCAGATGGATCCAAGCTTATCGCCCCCTCCAACAACCTAGACGGTAGGCTCTTGGCTTCAAACTCAGGTTTACTTATTCATAAAGTGATGCTTTCAGATGCTGGGATCTATTACTGCATAGCACGGACAGGCAGGGATGTAGATGTTATGCCCTTGCGCCTTGCAGTCGAGGAGTCTTCGATTCCACCTTTAGGAGAGCATGTAGGACCTCCTGCCAAAGGAGCTGTTGGGGAGCCCATTAGTCTGTCTTGTGAGGTGTCTGGTTCACCATTGCCTTATTTGAGTTGGGTGTTACCAGATGGAAACACAGTACGTCGAGGATTAGCTGTATCAGGGGGGGTCACAATGCAATCAAATGGGAGTCTCTCTCTGCCTAACCCCACCAAGAGGGATGCTGGGCATTACCGCTGCATTGCAGTCAACCAGTATGGTAGTGATTCTATGTCCATGCAGCTGGACTTAAAGTCACAACATCCCCTTTCACTCAAGAATTCATTCTCAAGAGGGCCACAGTCAGCGGCTGGTCGGTCCACCAGAATTAGAGCTCCATTATTACGCCTAGAAGAGGAAGGATCAGGGGATGAAGAGGAAGAAGAGAAAACGACTATTGGCAATAGAAGACATCAAAGGCCTCTCCAACTGCCACCAAACCGACGTCATCCGATTGGACAACCCAGAGGACGTGGACTTATGAGAGAGGGCCCCCTGAGAAGAGGAGGGAGGCCTGTATCATCCACTGACAAGAGAAGAAACCGCTTCGAAAACAGACATAGAGTTACCACCAACAAACAAAGGATAGATCCCAAGAAATGGGCTGACCTCTTGGAAAAGATACGACAAAAGACTGCTCAGACTAATAATAGTCAGCCCATTGCAGAAGGGACAGCCACAGCTGAAGCAGAGGGGAAAAGCAGACATGAGGGAGGAGACGATACAGATAAAGGTAGAACTGAGGCCTCAGAGGTGGAAGCAGAAACCGAAGGGTCGTCTGTCAATGACGATGATCTAAAACAGGAAGGCTCAGAGTCCATTCCCACTGTTCTGACAAAAATGCCATCACATATTGGGACAGAAACAGACACAGAGATAACGAAAGAGACAGATAGGTCGAGAGAAACACAGACTGATATAGAGAATGAGACAGAGACACACATACACACAGAGAAACCAACAGAGACAGTGACAAACCCAGAAACACGACAAGAACAAGTCACATCTAAACCAATCCCAGGAAGAAATGAAATTATCCCTGAAGCTAGAGAGGGCAATGAACAAGAAGAAAACCCCAGCCTTTCGAGAACCAGGCCCCAGAAACCCAGGCAGGGTATCTTTCCTAACTTGGTTCCAAACTCCAGGCCTCAAAGCCCTTGGAATTCTCGCAGGAGGATCGGACAGCGAAGACGAATCATCAACAGACAGAGGGGACGACCTTTTAGTCCAACACAACCTCTACCTGACCCTAAGTCACAAACTGACACTACAACAGATCAACTTGATAAGTTGCTGCTGGTGTCATCGACTGCCCCTGTTTCTAACAGTCTTGGTATCTTCACTTCAAAATTCAACTCCCTCTCAGCAACTCCCCCTCCTTCCTCTACCACCTCATTATCCTCCTCACACACAAAGGCACATACAGACATGATGACTCAGTCTGCTAACTTCCCTGACATTGCAGAGTCCAATCCCATCAGCACACTAACACCAGCACCCACTCACTCCCACACTGCCATTTCCTTTGCACAGACACATGTGCCAGACACACACACCGAGACACATATACACACGACATCAGGCAAACATGTTGATAGACCACCAAGCAAACACAGTGAAGAGCCGAAGAGGAATTCATTGGGTGTACCATATGTTTCCCAGTCCTTGGCCTCTGTGTCGCCCACTCCCTCCTCCATTGCTTCCACCGAAGTCGCCGTGCTGTGACAATTGCCATCACTACTGTAAAAATAACAAGTCCTTCAACCACTCTAAAGAGCACTCACTCTACTAGTATTATGGGAAGCAGTAAAAGTCTATCTACCGCAATAGATAGTGAGAACACACTTCCTGTAACCACTACAACTAGTCCCATGACTCCACCTCCCATCATATCTACTAAAACTACAATTACTACTCCAACATCTAGCCCTACCAGAAGCACAACTACTCTTACCTCAACTACTACCCCAACAACTCCTATACTAACATCTACTTTGCCCACTACCACTACTACTTCTTCAACCAGCCCTTCTACTACATTTACTACTACTACAGCTCCTAGTACTAAAGTGTTGTCAAAAGCTATTTCCACAACTTTGAACCCTACTACTACTACTTTTATGAGTACTACTACGACTACTACTACTACTGCAACAACTACCAAAACCACCAATCCTACAATAAGTAGTAGAATTACAATATCAGCCACAAATTCTCCCACCACAACACAAGTTACAACATCCAGTACCCCTTCTACTACCACAACAAGAATGACATCAACACCTACTGCAGCATCACCCAAAGAGAGGCCAAGCGCTGGCCAAGTTGACCCCAGATGGAAGCATGCTTCCAGGGCTCCAAACCAGAGTCGACCCCCCACTGAATGGAAGAACCCTGGAGCTAATTCTATTCCTGATTCACACAGCGGCAGGCCACTCCGGCCCCCCTCATCCTCGCTCCCTGTCACCCCTGGGGTGAGTTCAAATAACACAACATTGCTATTTTGTGGATACCGTTACCAATAATGGGTCTTAAATCACCCACATACTTCACAACAAAACTAAGTGCCTAGCTTTGACCTTTGCTTGCTCTTTATTTGTTCATTAATTGCAAATGTTTTTAATGTTCCCTTATAACAACTTTCTGCATTCAGTCTTTCATTTAACTAATAATTTGTCAAGTCACTCTTAAATTAAGTTTGCAGTACTTATATACAGTATAAAGATATTGCTCTTTATTGTGAGCTTTGGGAAACCCAAATTATCATTTCTGTTCGGAGAGAAAGTGCTGCATAACAATACACACACAGTCAAACCCAAAGTCTCTCTCACACAAGCACCTACACACACAGATACAAGAACGGTGCAAACCCTGGGGCAACAGCTTAGCAGAAATGCACAATAGATCTGAAAATAGTCTTATCCGTATTTACATGACCTGCTATTAAACCTGAGGGATGTTTTTGACAAATCTTCGATTTCATGGATTTACCAGTGAACTAAAGAAGAGATGAAAAACACATGTTCCATAACTAACAACATTAAGTGTTATGCAAGCCTAATCCCCAGGGATCTGAAACAAATCAATTGTTAATTAATGTCTGGATTTCTGTTGGCAAGCATCTGCAGACTAAGCCTTTTGGGTCCACCATTGATGATTCTGATGCAGCGATCAGAGTAGTGCAATATAAGACAGGATAGACACTGGACTATAAATTGTCTTTACATTTTTGCACTGGTATTTAAAATAACCAGATATCATTTATATTCTTCAAGTTTTGTGGAGATTATAATGTCTTTGTTTTATGTTTAAGGCGAACGATGTTGATTCTTGTCTTTTTATGGCAGCAGCATGGGTGAAGAGCCTAAGAAAGTTAATATTGAATCTTGAATAAGTATGTGATGCTACTTAACAATAATGTTAAAGCCTACATAGTAATGTCTATACTGTTATAGTTTTAAAGTAAGGTAGCTTTTTGGAATCCAGCTTCTCATACAAAGTTTGAGTGTGTCTTTTTTTATGGTTGGGGGTATGTTTTAAAAGATTGTTCATTCATAACGTTGTTGTGATAATGTTGATTTATCATTTTTGCTATTAGCCAGTCCTATTTATTTCATGTTGCTGTATGCTGCCCTAAAGTTCTCAGATCACATGTTCATTTAAAGTTTTTACTTGTAAAACAGTACTGGATCCATTCTAACTATGTTGTAACTACTGTTTGTTACTTCTTTTCTAAACCTCTATCATAGGAACCAGTTGTGAAATCCAGACCGAGGATTGCAGATCCACATATCAGGACTGTGTCGTTCCCAGCAGAGAGCACTGCCAGGCTGGATTGTGAAGCTAAAGGAGAGCCTAAGCCCTCTATCACATGGACCAAAGTCGCCACAGGTACACACAGAGCAGCCACTTTACTTTACTTTTTTTTTTTGATAGCCATTTTTAGAATATATTAACTTAATCCATAAATGTAAAAATCAGTTTTCAGTATTATCTTAAATTAAGGTTTACATTAAATACTTGTATGTGACTGTCAAATCTAGTTCACTGACTGATGTAAACTTGGCAAAGATTATCTCTGTAAACCTGTTCTTGGGACCAGGCTCTGGGGCTTTATTTTTGATTACGCTCTGAAACATAAAAATGCATTTTTTTCATTCAGAGTTAAGTCATCTATGTTAAAACCTGCCATTTATTTGATTAAAAACTACAGACTGTGGAATACATTACAAACAAAGTTTTGTTTTTATATTCTGAAGTCACTGATTTGAACATTTTCGGATGTGAAATCATTTGACACTGATGAAATAACCCATAAACACCCAGCATTACGCACTGACATGCACACAGAAGCCCTTTCTCTTGCTTGCCACGTGGGAAAGGCATAGTGAAAGAAAGTAATGGAACATTTTGTGCATTGCATCACTGACTCTACTTTACGCTGTGTCACTCTGCATGTCCCTTATCCTCCTTTCCTCTGTCTTTTGCTCACTCTACAGCTTTCCTTCCATATTTGTCTCTGTTTTCCCCACTCTGTCTCTTCATTTCCGCTTTCTCCTGTGCTGTCTGTCTGATTACCTCTCTCTCTCTCTTTGACTTTCAGGAGCAGTGATGTCAATCCACTCCAGGGCTCAGCGATTTGAGGTCTTGCCAAATGGCACCCTTGTTATCCAGAATGTTCAGCAGCAGGACAGGGGCACATACATCTGCAGTGCACACAGCTTTCTGGGTCGTGACAGGTGAGACTACTGATACCTGTTATGAATATTAATGTAGTGTATACTGAGCCATTCATTAATAATGACCGTCGTACACAATATTTTCAGTATAAATTACACAGGCCTGAGGCACACTGCAATCTAATTAATGAGTATTATGTGTGTTTTGTTGCTATTTCCCCACTTAATTTGTGAAACAAATTAATCTATTTCAAGTGAAAACATATTTACAGGCCACTTGAATCATATTTTTGAGGCAGCCTAAAGTCATATGCAATTCTGTCTATATACAATCTGTTCATACAATTTGTAAAATTAGTATGTGTGTGTGAAACATTATAACATTTCTCAGGATTCTTGGAGGCTTTGTGTAGGCCTTTTGGTGTTTCCTAAATGTGTGTTATTACATTAACAGTTTGGTTTGTTTTCATTTAAATGTTTATTTGAGATGCTTGGACTCTGCTTATTACTTTATTTAAACGTAATAATTGTATGTCCAAGGTACAAACATATTTAAAGTCCCCTGTAACATTTTTAAGCAGCCTTAAGTCATATTCTACTCTCTTTATGAAATATGTCCATACAAATGTATTTAAGTGTTTGTCCCAAAGTGTTTCTGGAACGTGAATTCAGCATATCCCAAGATTCTCGATTACTCTTTTGCCCATTGTTATAAAGTATCTTTCTGTTTTAAATATCTATTTGAAAGGGTTTTCATTTTATTATGTAATTTTATATTGAGTAAGTGTCTGCTTTGTCTTCCATGGTAGGTTGTTAACAACCCTCGAAGTGTGGACACGCCCCCCTAGTATGAAACTGGCCAGTTATAGAGAATCGACCATTCATCAGGGTGGAGAGGTGCACCTAGAGTGCCAGGCAGATGGCATTCCCACCCCTCTGCTCTCTTGGGTTTTACCTGACCGTTCTGTCCTCACCTCCTCTTCCCCCTCGGCCAGTCGCATCAATATGGACACAAATGGAACCCTCCATATCTCGGTAACTTTACCCAGCGACAGAGGAGTGTATCGCTGTGTGGCCTCCAACTCAGCAGGTGCCGCCAGCGCCTCAGCGCGTGTACACGTGTCCTCCTTGCCCCCGGTGATACAGCAACCTAGAGATGAACACCTGCTCTTGTCTCCAGGGAGGCCTGTCTATGCACACTGCTCGGCCCGAGGTGCCCCACAACCAACTCTGCGATGGCGAATCCCGGATGGGACTCTCGTTCGACCATCCCAGTTTCTCCATGGCAATCTTTTTGTCTTGCCCAATGGGACACTGCATATTCGGAAAGTTGAGCCTAAAGACATTGGAAATTATGAGTGCACAGCAAGTAATGCTGTTGGAGCTGATAAAAGAACGGTGAGGGTGGAAATTGAAGTGGAAAGAACACAGGGTGGGGCAGGACATGAAGGGGCAAGAGCAGTTGCAGCTGAAAAACCATCTTCTTCTTCTTCTTTCCATGAAGAAAGGAACTTTCCAATCCCCAGCCAACCTCCAAATCCATTCAGACTCCCCCCTCCATCTCATTTTAATAGATCCAGGAACTTGCCTGACTCCTCCAGCTCCTCTCGATTCTCTTTTCCTCCTCACCAACTCAATCCCACTAACTCACCTCCCAAAATCAATAAAACAGTCACTTCCTCCCCCACACACTTGGCCAACATCAACAGAACACTCTCCACCTTGCCTACAAATAACACCAGAGTGTCAATTGGCATTGTAAACAACACAAGACTTACTTCTACCTCCTCTGACAAAAAGGGACCCTCAACCCTGCCTCCCTCACCTGTTTCCCCTTTCAGTAAAGCCCGTATTGTCTCTACAACACCCCCCATATCTACCATCCACTATGGGGAGATTTTGCAGCTCCACTGTACTGTAACTGGCAACCCATCACCCATCATTATTTGGAGGACTCCCAATAGAAAACTGGTGGACAAGCATTTCAGGTACACTTTTTATCACTTCTTTTTTTAATCTGAGTTATTCCATTTGTACTGTTTCTGATTGTATAGCCTTTTCTCTATCTTTGTGTCTCTACTTTGGAATTTCAGTTTCGACAGACGCTTTAAGGTGCATCCTAATGGCACCCTGTCAGTTCAGGCAGTCACAGAAAAAGATGCTGGGGACTACCTCTGTATTGCACGCAACAAGGTTTCAGATGATTATCGCCTCCTGCGTGTCTCTGTAGCTACCAAGCCAGCCAAAATCGAACCCAAGCAGCCACACGATCAGATGGTGCTGTTTGGCAAACCACTGAAGGTGAGTAAAGAATTGTTTTTAATCCTTGTCGATGTCCCAATAATAATATCTACTCAATCATCAAATTACAAAAACTATGAGGTTACTGGATCTAGCCTTAAGTATTGAAGCTCCTGTGAGGAAATTTCAGTCTGTGTTGTTTAGGCGACACCTGTGGACACAGCGGTATCTCTTATTCTTTGCTGTTATTTTATCATGTCTTCAAATACAAAAATGTCTTCCTGCTTTCTTTAAACAGTTATAGGTATCACTCATCCATATTCTTTGCTGTTGAAAAGGCTGTTTTCTGCAGTGTGCTAAGAAGCCCTATTTCTTCTTCTATTTCAAGATTCAAGATTAAGTGTCTCACAATGTGGGAAATGTGTTTTGGGCTCTTCACCCATGGTGCAGCCATAAAAAAGAACAGTCAACATCATTCACATTAATCATAAAACAATGAACATTATTAAACTATGTCTATAAAAATAAAGATAACATCAGGTTCTTTCAATACCAGTTAAAAAATGCAAAGACAAATTATAGTCCAGTGCCTATCCGGTCTTGTGTACCACTAAATAGAAATGATCAATCTTGTCTCTTATAGTCTTGTTTTCTTATGCAGGTCATAAAAATGCATCAGTATTAATTTTAGTCTGTTTCATAACTAGTGAAAAACTCCTCACAGGAGCTTCAAACAATATACCTCCAATAAATCCACTGATGAGGTTTTAGAGCCCTATTTTCTGTTCCTGCAGTGATATGTGTTGGATGTCTGCTATCATTGGGTGTTGTGCCAAAACCTTCCTTGGTTGTTTTTGACAAAATTTCAGCACTTTTTTCTGATCCAAAAAAAACAGAAAGACTTGTCAGGTCACAGCCCGTTTTGAGTCATCAGCAGCAGCCTTCAGGGAATAACACACACACACACACACATGAATATTTAACAGCTCAATAAAAAATAATGTCACTCAGGCAGTAGTGCAAGAAAGAGGACAATATACTAAAGTGGGTATTTGTTGTCCTTGATCTTTATTGTATTTAACATGAAATTGTATCATTTTCAGTGTACAACTCCAACAAAGTTCAACTTTTATCAACAACTTTAAAATGTAGCACTGATCTTGTACCCTGCAGGTTGACTGCCAAGCAACAGGGCTGCCTGACCCAGCTGTCCAGTGGAGCCTCCCTGATGGAACCATGGTAAACAGTGTTTTGCAGGGGGAAGAAAGAGGAAGGCGAACACGGAGGCTAACTGTGTTTGATAATGGGACCTTACTGGTTCCAGCAGTGGGTATGGGGGAGGAAGGAGAGTATACCTGTTATGCTGAGAATCAAGGAGGGAAAGACACCATGAAGGTAAGAAGAACAGTGTCTCCAGAAAATGACTTATTTAACTGAATTCTAACCTTGAAATATTCAAACGTTTTAATCCTTTGTTTACATTAAAATATTCAAGGTCAAAGTAAAGATCATGATGACATCCCCACCAGCCTTCAACGATGACAGAAGTTACCATGTCATTAAAGTACCTCTGGGAGGAACTGCCGCTATTCCCTGCCGGGCCACAGGAGATCCTACTCCGACAGTGACATGGATTTCGCCAACACACCGTGTCATCCCCAACAGTTTGGGATCTAGATTTTACTCTGAGCGGGTTGTTGTGGTTTCAGGTGGAACCCTGGAGGTGCGCATGGCTCAGAAGATTGACACAGGGAATTATACATGCCGAGCTGGCAACTCAGCTGGGGAGAAGAGCATGGTGATAGGCCTGGTAGTGGAGTCTCCTAACTATGGACAACATGCTGGAGGAAGAGGTTGGAGTACCAGCAATGGGCCAGGCAGTAGGTCAGGGGAAAACATTAACAATGGAGTCACAAACAAGTTTGGTGGCAGCAACAATAATGGCCATAGTGGTAATAATGGCAGGTTGGGAAACATTGTACCCAACACTGGCATTAGTTTAGCAACCAGTGTCTTAAATCCTGTTCAAAGGAGTGATAGTGAAGGTACATTAAACAGGCCTGTCAGTAGAATAACAACCCATCTTGGTAGCAGTGTAATCAGTGTTGGGGTTAGCGGTGCTAGCAATATAGGCTTTAAAGCAGATAATACTGAAATAACTAGAAATGGACCTATTACCACAAGAGGTAATGATAGTCTGGGCAACAGTCACAGCACAGCTAGAGGAAATATTGTTGAAAGGAAGCCCGGGACTTACAATAATGAAGTTATTCCAGGAAAGAGTAGCAATGATGCCAACACTGGTACATCAAGAAATGCTGGAATTGTTAGCAGCAGTGGGTCTAATCATGGAGCTGGTTCATTCAGAGAAAATGGGTTCAGTAGTGGTATAAATACAGGAGCCATTAATGCTTACAGTAGGATAAGTGCTGGTTCAAGTAGTGCCAACACAGCTGCTCATAATACAGGTACTAAAAACTCTTCTAACACACTTGCTGGGATGATAACGACAGTGAAGAAGCAATCAATGAAAGGCCAAACTGTTATTCTGCCATGCCCCTCACAAGGCTCCCCTCCGCCTCGAGTGGCTTGGCTTCTGCCTGGTAATGGTGTGTTGCCAGCTCCTTATTATGGCAGCCGGCTAACAGTGCACCGGAATGGCTCGTTGGAGCTGCGAGGCGTGCGGGTGAGTGATAGTGGGACCTTGGTTTGTGTGGTTAGAGGTCAGCAAGGAGAGACCAGGATACAGGTGGAGCTGGAGGTCTCTGAGGTATCTTCCAACAGGGCACCAGCTGTTGAAAGACCTGCTCAAGGAAGCTTTGGTTCGAATGAGGTGCCAAACCCACGGTTACCAGTTACTCCAAGGCTTCTACAAAGCGGCCCTTCTTTACCAGTTGTACCTCATCCAGTTGGCCCTCCACTCCGCTCAACTGGCCTTGCCTCCGAGCCAGCACTGAGCACCAGGACAGCCCCCTTGGTGAGCATCATTAATGGAGAAACTCTTCGCCTGCCCTGCCCTGCTTCTCAAACATATGGATACACCCAGAGATCTCTCTCCTGGACTACGCCCAGTGGAAAGGTGATGTCTTTGGGTGAGAGTGGTGAATCAGGCCGATTTATTGTCGGAGCGGATGGAACGCTAACAATACAACAGGCCACTGTCTTCGATCGTGGGTCCTACACCTGCAGGTCGCAGAGCATCCACTCCTCATCTGTTTCAGTCCTCACTGTCCCTGTCATCGTCATCGCCTACCCCCCTCGCATCACAACAGGCCCCTCCCCCGTGACCTACACACGACCTGGTGTCGCCGTGGAGCTGCCATGCATGACCATAGCAACCCCCCGGGCGACGGTCACCTGGGAAACACCAGACCTGACACAACTCATTGTCATGGGTCAGGCTCGTATCTATGGCAACCGCTACCTTAGTCCTCAGGGTTCCTTGGTGATACAGAACCCAACAAGTAGAGATACAGGGTTTTACAGATGCACCGCAAAAAATGTGATAGGAGTAGACACCAAAGCGACTTACCTGCATGTTATATAATGCGGGGAAGGTAAACAAAAACTCATACACACAAAAAAACGTGCAGAACAAAAAACAGACTCCACCAGGCTTCTGTGCTGGTGAATTAAATACTCTGCTGTTAAAACTATGTGTCCAACAAGCCCAACGGAACTGCAAGATACTGTTTTATCTCAGAAAAGACTTTTCTAATATACAAGTCATTGCCTCATTAATGTATTTTTAATGTACATCTTTGTTTTAAATACTGTCATTTGTATGCAAGAGTCTCTGAACATAACAACAATACATTTTTCTCTGCAGTATCAAAACATTTCATTAAGGTCTGTTTTATTATACAATCGTATAATTTGTACCTTGTTTTCTGTCTCTTTGGGCAGCAAGTCCAAAAAAATACACAAGATATTTAAGAGTTCTGCACAGATGTAATGTTAATGTGGACCAATGGACTACTTTTCATGTGGACGATGGAAAAAACTGAAAGGCTGTCATTTTTCTCTGTTCATTGTGTTCCTTTAAAAAACCTTTTGTGGAGAAAATAACCTTGTCCCTTTTAAGGTTTTTACCATAATGATTTTTTTTTTTTAATCTGGGAAACAAGACAGACATGTTTGTACTGTTAAAAAAAACATGAGCGCTATCCTTGGCTTGGTTGCTTTATTTCATGACGTTGTGCATTTATCTACTAACACTGACCTACAACAGAACTTATTCCTCGAAAAATGACATTGATTAAGAACATTTTCTTGATATCTTTTTTTAAAAGGTCATTTTTCTTTAATAAATACACACACCAAAAAGGTTGGATTTTGTATTTGCCGTGCATATGTAGCAAACTTAAGCAGACACTCTTATTTGCATTGTACTTTGCATTCATTTAATCTGTAATATATATAATAATTGAAGGCTGCAGAACTATGATCCACCGTAACATCAGCATCTTCAGGACTTTGTAAAGCTTGTTTACATTTTTTCTGGCTAACTTGTAGATTTGAATCTTAACAAATGTTGTTGTACCAGCATCTTTTTGATCTCACAGCATCTTTGGAGCTGAATGAGATATCGTAAAGGAGCTTTTATGTAAGCAACATACCCATTTCTTTGAAGGACACTCTCTGTGATTATTTTGATATTATAGGCTGTATAAATGTGCGTGTAATTCAAGAGACTGTCCTAAGCTTGTGCACAAAGCCAGCGGCTTATAGTTATCATGTTTCCTCTCTTTGTGTTTTCATTTGTGCTTAAATTATTTGTCTTGTAAAGACTCTGTTGTAAGATGCCAGTGCTTTGTCATAAAGGGAGAATAGATTAAATATTATTATGTACTGTATGTTGGATGTCTTACAATTCACGAGGAATGCTTGCTATATTTTTCACACCTTCATTTTATAAATAAAAATGAAAAAGATTTAGAGTGTTTACTCCATGAAATGTCAGCAGCTGTCTCACAGTTATGTTTGGATAAATGATACACATACAAAGTGTATGCTTGTGAGAGTGTGTATAGAGGCAGTGTGAAAAGAAAACACCCAGTGGGAGGGCACGGGTTAGGAGGGACACTTTTTTTCTTTATTATATTATGAGAACAGAGACCCTTTATCCCCAGCTCAGCTGTCAAACCAGGAAATGGGTTCTTAACTGTAGATGAGACACATGTTGATGACATCATAGTCCTCTCTCTCTCTGGGAAATGCCATAAAACTCACAGCAGCCTGCAGAGAAACAACATGTACCACCCTGCGCTCACACCTGCCAAGTGTTTGCAGTGTTCACTCTGAGTCTGTTAAATACAAATTAAATACTAATGCAATAATTTACACCTCATATGTATGAGCTGTGCACTCTGATGGAGAACTTCATCAGCCAGGAGTACAAAAGAAAATAATGTAAACTGCAGTAAATGTTGCAACGTGTATAAGGATCCATTTCAAGCCAACAGCTGTCAAACAAAATCATCTAAAATAAAGGATTAGAAATAGCTGATGATGTTACAAAAACATTTTAACTCAGTGTTTGTGTTTCCTAAACTGTCACACACTGTTCTCCACAATTTCAAGACTGTTTGAACCTTTTCAACATTTCCCTTTTGCATTGCACTGTGAGGAAACAGTTGTTCTTACAACACAAGCAATTTCAGACTCAGTTTGAGATTCTTATCTATTTTATCGACAGAGTGCACATATATTTGGAAAAAGCAAAATGATATCCTGAGTTCTTGAAGCTAAAGGGCCTTTCAGACAGGATTCGGTTTGTGCTGCACTCGCCACAGGGTATGGTGCAGGGCAGGGGAGGAGTGCACACATCCACAAATCAAAGGCCAAGTTGCTAGGTGACCGAAACGTTAGTGGTAAAATAGTTACTTCTTGGATGCACAATGTATCTTTCCACTATTCAGTAGAATGCCAGTCTTTCTTCTGGTGAGGAGGATGAGAAGACCAAGCGGAAGAGGGTGTGGGTTTCATAAAATCTTTAGGGCAGGACAGGATGTGCGAGACTTTTGGCTCATCTAGGAGCTGTAGCTCTATAACGACCACTTCACAAGCACAACACACATTTCTGCTGCTTTTTAAAACACACCCGGTTCGCCCAAATTGTTTGAAATGTATTTCAAAAGAAGAGCTCTCTTACCAGTGTGCAGGTAGGTCTTCAAACTACAGAGCTAAGGAAACTGGGACATTGTTTGCTGTCCAGTCCTATTGGACGCTGCAAGGTGTTGTCACTGAGCGCTACAGCCAAGTTTCAAATTTGGTAACATTCATGGACGGCAATGCAATTGTGGCCTTGTACTGCAACACATAGGCAATGAATGGTTTGAGAGGGGCCACTGCATCCTATCTGAAAGGCCCTTAAACTTGACTTGGCTAATGTTGCACTTTAAAAGTCACAGTCTGTCTTGTTCTGCCTAGAGGGGTCTCTCAATCACATTTTTTGTAGAATGCATCATTTGATGATATTGGGGAGTATATGGCATCGTGGAAACGTTCATGTTAAATTACTACAACTACTGATGATAGAAACTCTCCAATGACTAAGCTAGAAATCAAATACAGAAGAGAGTTATACACTGAATTTTATTTGTGGAAATGATATTACCCTTTTTATTAGAAGGCCTCAATATGGCTTTAGATAACTTTTTGCAAACTTCATGGATCTCTGGAATATGATTTAATGTTTTTAAATGGAAGATACTGTATGAAACATATCTGTGATCTAAATTCAAATAGCTTCAATAATGTTGAAAACAATCAAATATAAAACATGGTTTTAGTTCTTTTCAGACATTTAAAAGTTGAAATGTTTTAATTTTAAAATGAATCCTATCAGTCCTAACTTGTTAACCCAAGGGTTGAACTTGTAGAAGGTTGCTGAGTAACTCGAATGTAAAAACAAACAAACAACAAGTTAAGCATTATTGTTCCCCTTGTTTGTTCACTTATCAAAGCCAGTGCTCATTAAAATCATCGCCTTGTCCCACCCATTCATTTGGGCAGTTTAGTGTAGTTTGAGTATCTAAAGGGAAATCTAGCACAGAGGAACAACATTAGAGTTCTGTTGTGTAGTGTGTGCTCAATGTGATGAGCACAGTTGTTTTCTGTGGAGGCTTCTCCTGTTTTGAATTATCTCTTTTATGGTGTTGGAGTGTTTCCATCCATTGTAGGATACTGATTTTATGGTTCTATGCCTGAGCTCTCTTTAAGCAAATAGATGACTTTCTGTCCTTATTTCTGTGCCATAGAAAACTTACAAGCTTATAAAGAGTATTATAAGGGTATTTTATTTATTTGGCAACTATTTCACTTTCACCTCAGATATCCCAAAAGGGGTGCGACAAATGGGGAAAAGGCTGGTTTGAACTGGCTACATAATTACCATATTGACTTTGCCTCAGTACCTTCATTACAAAAACAGTAAATAGACCAAATTCTCACATCGGCCATCGTCCTGTGTCATAAAATGGTGTTATCATGCTGTACTGCTATGTTTCAGGTTGCAAACAGCAATAATCTGACAAACTCTGAAAACAAAATCAATTGTCAATGACAAATGTTCAATTTAAAGCCCTCTTCAGCTGACAAATGCATTCTCCTTTCCACCTCCAACAAAAGATCCAGCCAGTGCTGGACCCATGACCCAACATACCCCGAGATACAGTGTGCACCAATTCAATGAGCTGGAGGACTCTGGAGCGGCTGAATAATACATTTTTAAATATAAGTAATGTAATGTTTCAACACCACAGAAAGGCCACCAATACTAATGTTTAAAAAGGGCGGCCTTGACACATGAACTTATCTTTTAAATAATAGGTTAAAGGTCGAGTCAGTAGCCTTAACATGAACAATAAAATATAGATTTGTATAAAAGTAATGTCGTACAACCATCACTTATGGGCTGCCATACATGTGTGGTGGTGACTGTGTCTGCAGAGCCTGTCCTCTGGCTGGATTTTGATATATTGTGTGTTGTAGTTGACTTCTGGACGTTTCTGGGCAGGAAGCGCAATTGTTTCCTCCAGCCAATGACAGTGAGCAGGTGAGTTTAGGAGTGAATACAATTCAGTGATTGGACGTGTTTCAAATCGGCATATCTCAGATGTAGCGGCACATAAGAGAATATATAATCATAGTGAGGCCAACAACTAAGCGGATAAAGCTCATTCCAAAACGAGGGTGAACCTTAGGTTGGCTTTTGACCATGAATGCAGAGTTGGCTTGTTTTCTGTTGGACAGGCAGGTGCCAAACACTGGCAGTTGGCATAAGCTGACGTGCTTTATTATTTGCTTAGCAGAACGACATGATAAGGCCTCATGTCTCTCTGGATTTTCAGTATCCATTGTCTTTAGCTTCTTATCAATCAGGAGTTGATTAAATTAAAAAATAGATTCTGAAGGTTTTAATGATTTACAACCTGGATCATAGCAGAACGACATGATAACAACATTTGAGCTCGTCTGTTTGAGCGGGATGTTACAGGCAGATAACCACTGTGAGAATACGGTCCATGATGCCCGATATGTCAAAACTGCAGCTCAGCTGATCTATTTTTTTTTTTTAATCTTTTTTTAAATCTATATTGTGGTATCTATCTATTTTTTGGTACATTTTTAATTTTTCTTTAAATTGTACTGTGTTCACTTTTTGTTTGCAATCTTTGCTGCTGTAATAATGTAATGTATTTCCCTGTTTGGGATAAATAAAGGATTATCTTATCTTATCTTAATTTTTCATTGAATAAATCAACTTCAACTGCTGTTAATGATCACAAGTGACCAAAGCTTTTCATTCAGTCTATAATATCCTTCAATCCAACAATGGTATAGCAGCCCTGTCACTAAATTTGATTGTGTGTTAGGTTATATATAAAACAGATATAGAATATGCTTTTGAGAGACAAATAATAATTCCTTACTGCTCTACCTTAACTGTACACTTTGTAATACAGAAACAAACATCCCTGCTTCATCCGCTCATATTGTACATATTCACTTTAATGGTGTCATCTCATATTAGTCATGCCAGCTAATCTAACATATACTGTATTAGCCACACACATGTCACGGCCCGCCCAGCTTTCATGTTTGTTTCACAGTGAAAAGAGAGTCAACAGCTCATCATCTGGTTTAGTGTGCGCTGATTTTTCTGTGTTTAAATAGAAAACAGGCCGTGAAACTCTCCCTACTTTACTGCAGGCCATGAAAGGAACCCCACTCTACTTTGCAGTGAACCACATGCATTCAGGTGGAAGATTTATTTCAAATTGCACTCTGCTGTTGGTTATCAGCTTAGATTGTAATGAGTAACTCAATCATGGCACTACTCAAGTTCAGTGATGTAATTTATACCATGAAAGTATCCAACCGCCCACTGCGAGGCCTCAGCTTCATTACTTTCATATCTTTAATGTTGCTTTGGAACAATGATGCACTTTAGAGTGAAAAGACATTTTGCCTTAATGCCTCATTAGCTTTGTGCATCATGAATACTTTTTTTCCCCTATTTGTTTTTCAATGTTGCCGCTGAAACATGGAAATATTAATGTTGTGAAAATATGAAAAGGTTTCCATTTCACAGTAATAATGACTTTATAACTGGAAATAATGGGGAAATTATTCCTGCATGGGAAAGCAGCGCTTTGCACATGACTTCCTCACCCAATGGTTTCAGACACATGATTGGTTTATTTCTGTCATTATAACAACTCTTCTGCATTAGCTCTAACCAAAGTAATGTTAAAAAAGAGAGATACTGCAAACAAACATCCCTTTATCTACAACATCTTATATACCTATTATCCATTTTTTATTGGAATAAATTAGTACCAGTCTAGCTTTAATCACACATTCAAAAAATGTCCTTCCATGGCAAACAGGTATAGCATATATGTAAGCATGACTCATATCCCCTGATCACTGCAGGATGACTGCTTTCCTCAGATGTATATCACCAAAGAGTGACCTGTGCAGTAATGAGCTGATGGAAAACAGACTCATTAAGCTGCAGTGTGTGGGAGGAGGTACACT